AATCCCGTTTTCCTCGGTTTTCCTCCGCTTCAATCTCCCCAACCGGAAACTGAAGAGCATCCTTGTATCAAGTGCGGAATTTATGTGTGCACATAGTCTATTGTCTATAGCCTATTGTCTACGTAATCAACCAATCACATGGCAGTTGCTTCAATGCATTTAGGGGTGTGGTCCTCCTGGTCAAGACAATCTCTTGAACTCCAAACTGAATGTCAGAATGGGAAAAAAAGGTGATTTAAGCAATTTTGAGCTTGGCATGGTTGTTGGTTTCACAATCTGCTCAGTTATTTTCATGCACACCCATTTCTAGGGTTTACAAAGAATGGTGTGAAAGGGGAAAACATCCAGAATGTGACAGTCTTGTGGGTGAAAATGCCTTGTTGATGCTAGAGGTCAGAGAAGAATGGGCCAACTGATTCAAACTGATAGAAGAGCAACTTTGACTGACCCTCGTGTGAGGGATGTTTTCTTGGCACAATTTAGGCCCTTTAGTGCCAATTGGGCATCCCTTCATCCACCATGTACCCATCTTCTGATGGCTACTTCCTGCAGGATAATGCACCATGTCACAAAACTCGAATCATTTCAAATTGATTTCTTGAAAATGACAATGAGTTCACTGTACTAAAATGGCCCCCACAGTCACCAGATCTCAACCCAATAGAGCATCTTTGGGATGTTGTGGAATGGGAGCTTCATGCCCTCGATGTGCATCCCACAAATCTCCATCAACTGCAAGATGCTCTCCTATCAGTATGGGCCAACATTTCTAAATGTTGCTTTCAGCACCTTGTTGAATCAATGCCAGAATTAAGGCAGTTCTGAAGGCAAAATTGGGTCAAACACAGTAATAGTATGGTGTTCCTTATAATCCTTTAGGTGAGTGTATATATGTGCAACATGTTCTCCTGAAAGACGGAGCCATTCCCATTTTGTCGGGACAATCTGTTTATGAATCACAACTTGTAAGTACGTCTTATTATTTGCCTCTGCTAAACTTGCTCACTAAAATTACAGTATTGAGTGTTTACTTCAGCTTTTCAAAGCTCTCGCTTTTGTAAGACTGTTCACCACCCCTTAGGATGATCCAATCTGTGATGCCGGTAACGCGTTACTAAGTAACGCGTTATTCTAATTTGACCCCTTTTTTCAGTAACGAGTAATATAACGCGTTACTATTTCGAAACCAGTAATCAGATTAAAGTTACTTATCCAGGTCACTGTGCGTTACTATTTTTGTAATTTTTTTCTTAGTAAATACATATATTTATTTCTTCTTGCATCTCGGGGAGTGTGCGCGACAAGTCACGTTTTCAGCATGAGGTTCATGTCACGTGTACCACGCACGCAGCGACACAAATGTAAACAACGTTGGAGGGAGGAGAGAGATGCGCTTTTTCTAGCTGGAAATACAGTCACTATTTTGAGTTTGTCTCGGCTAAAGACGGCAACATTAAGGTCCGTTGTAAACTGCTGGCGGTGACAAAGTGTTATCTACCTACAGAAACACTTCGTCAAATTTGAAAAAAAAAAAAAAAAAAACATTTGGATTCGCAGCACCGCACAGCCAAACTTACAGAGCAAGTCACGCCAGGTGATGCGAAGCAGAGAGCAGGTTCCCCACCACAAAAGCAAAAGCTGGACTTCGTTTGCAAAACCAGTAAGTGGGGGGAGTTGAAGAAGTTTGTCGGGCAGTTTGTTGTGGAGGAAATGCTGCGATTAAACACGGTCGCCTTCGTTTCAACCCGAGAGGTTCGAGAAGCTTCTGTTAATGATGTACAACCACTGGTTTTACTCGCCTCTCTCATTAACTCATAACATGGGATTAAACATAAGATAAAAATAAAGATAAAAAAATAAAAAATGCAGATTATAAATAGTAAGTTTTGTCACAGTGTTAACTGTTAAATATGTCAGGTCAAGAAATGTTATAGTCTATATTTTAAATTTTTATAAAGACAAGTATTTATGTTAAGTGAAGACAAGAAAGGCTGTCTTTATTTTATTTTTTATAAAAACAAGTATTTATGTTAAGTGAGGTGAAGAAAGACTTAAGTTAAGTCAAGAAAGACATTTTTTTTTTTTTTTTTTTAAAACATGTTTTTTTCAGGAAATAGTTTTTAAGCTAAACTTTCAATGACAGGAGATAGATTGTTGATGTTACTATTAAAAATACACTTCCAATAAAGTGAATGTTGGCAAAACCGGTTATAATTTTTATGTTGACGTCGTGTGTTTTTTTTATGTTGAGGTCGTTATGTTGATGGTGTGTTGTCGGCAACTGCTGAATGTAACTAATAAAAGTAACTTGTAAGTAACTTAGTTACTTTTAAAATCAAGTAACTTGTAAAGTAACTTAGTTACTTTAAAAATCAAGTAACTTGTAAAATAACTTAGTTACTTTTTCAAAGTAACTGTGGCAACACTGGATCCAATCCATGATTACTGTTTGTATTACCATAGTATTCCAACAAATAATGATTAAATGGTGGATAACATCATATCTATAAGAAAATGACACAAAAAATCCACCACTCTGAACCACCACGTCCTGTGAAATTCATGCTTGCAAAGTCTGTGCTTTAAATCCATTCAGCACAATCCTCTTGTTCGTTAACATTGTCAGGGTCTGAATTGGGCTCAAAATAGTTTGAAATTGATGCCATCGTTAATATTTACATCTGAGTAGAGTTTGTGGTTATGAAGGGAGTGACATTTCCCGAACACACGCTAAGCGCTGCCAATCACAACACACTGGGCCAGCTAACCAATCACAGCACATTTCGTATTTAGGTAGGGGCTTCACTGAAAACAACACGTTCAACCAGACTGGGGAGAGATGAGCTGTAATAATGAAAATAAAAATAATTGTTTTGTATTGTTAATTGATTAAAAATAATGTGTTTTTTGAACAATAAAGCATGACAATGTATTGTAGTACAACTGAAATACAAAATCAAGACTTCGTAAAAGGGCATAACAGGACCCCTTTAAGCTTTTGAAATAAATTTAACATTAAAAAGGTGAGGGGCTCTTTCACTTCACCAAACAAATTCCATTACCACGCCCCCATTTCTTCTCTTTTACAGGAAACCTTTCCTCTCTCTTTCACCCTCTAATGGCTGGGATGATACAATTCACCCCTGTATCAGGGTAGCTGTTACAGCAGACTAGAGTAAGCGGCTGGCATGACTCCATCAGACTCTTGATTGTGTTACCACTATTGGCACAGTAATAATGATCACTACTGCAAAAACTAACAGAATGATGAATGCAAATGTTTTACAAATTTTGTTCCTCTTCAATTCAGCTGCTTTCTTCTTCAGCAGAGAATCATAGCCGGGTGTGTAGAGATCTTCCAGCCAGAAGCTCAGGTCTCTTGGGTCCTCCTGAAAGAAACATTCAGAAAATTATTTTTTTTGAGTTTACTGCATTTTAAAAGTAAACTCTGTGAAAATGTCAGATTGTGATGGCAAATGTTAAATCTTTATATTTAGCTTTTCATGATAACTAATATATTTAATAAATGGTAACAATAAGGTCTTATTGTAAAGTGTTTACCAAATAATTAATGCGATGTTGACTTAAATATTAAATTTCATGATTAAATTGCAATACAGAATTTAGACATTTGTTTATTAGAATGTCACCTCAATGTTGCATATTATATTATGTTTGCATAAAGCATGATTATTAATGATGGTCCGTTGTTTACAGCGTGTCAATGTTATATTCCACAGACACTGCATGAAAAGTGGGATTTTCGTCCCCGTAAACTGCCGGAAATCTCCCTAATTTTCGGCAGTTAACGACAATTTACAGACTGTGAACGTCGCGTTCCACTGTGCCACATATTGACGGAAACGAACCATGACGTATGCATGCAGCGCTCGCGGAGGTGCGAATGGCCCTAATTAGCATATGAATAGCAGCACTGCGCGCGCCTTGCCAGAGAATGGCTTGAATTTCCTCACTCAGTATTGGTTGAAATTCACTACATTTAAACAAGAAAATCACTCGTGATTGGTTGGCAGATCTGTTACTATTGGTCAGCCGACATAAAATTATAATAATAATAATCATATATATATATATATTCATATGATATGCTATTATGTTGTTTATTCATGTCATTGTTATCCTATGGACTAAATTATTATTACCATCAAGGACATGAATTTATTGAGGAAAGGAACATTTGCCACATACTGTTTATTCAAAGAAATAGCTTTATTAGAACAAACACAAAACTATGTACACAGCATAGGAGAACATCTTTCAAAGCACAGAAAACATGTCCTCCACCCTCTGGAAACATGGGACAACATACATACATACAGCACTACAGTTATACAAATAAATCAATAATATATTGCATCTCTATTCAAAAATAAATTGCCCTGAATGGCATCAGAATTGGGCACCAGATATATCAAACACAATGTACAGTGGAGCCAGAATTATGAACGAATAATAAGGATGTAATTTAAAGGTATGGTTCACTTTGAAATAAATTTTTGATATGTTTTATCTTATCTCAAGGGCATCCAAGATGCAGGTGGTTTTGTTTCCACAGTATTTTCAATTTTGATATTTTTAGGTCAAACTGTTGTTGTCTGTCAGTCATATAATGCAGGTCTATGGTCACCACCTCAAAGAGCATGCACAAAGAAGACCAAATTAAACATGATTTAATGACTCATAAATTAAGTACACAATGATTGACTAAGACACGAAATGAGCGTTTTGGGAAAGAAAACAAACAGTATTTATATTGTATAAATGTGTGTGTGTGTGTATATATATATATATATATATATATATATTTAGATATACACAAAATGCAATACATCTTAATATGTTTAGATCTTCACAGTAAAACTTCCGAAATCTGTGTAAACAATGAGTGACGTACCAGTGCAAGATCGCTTCTGGCGGTTTCCACCGCATGCGCAGATCATATATATATATATACATATATACACACACACACACACACACACACACACACACACACTGTTCATTTTCTCACACAAACCGCTTGTCTCGTATCTTAAGCCATCAACGTGTACTTACAGTTATGATTCATTAAATCATGTTTAATTTGTACTTCTCTGTGCATGCTCTTTTAAGAGATCCCCATAGACTTCCATTATATGACTGACTGATGCCCTTGACGTAAGCCAAAACATTTCAAAAAATAATTTCAAAGTGAACTATCCCTTTAAAACTCTTAATTCAAGTCCTGTAGGCTTGGCTCATCAGGGCGAAGTGAATTTAAGTCTTTGCGACGCGTGCTTGAGGTTCACCTTGATGTACATACACCTCAGTGGCTGTGGAAACGAATTTCATGACCCCTTCTGCAAAGTTGAAAAAGACAAATGATTTAGATGTATGCAAAGACAATCTGCCCCAAGTCCCCACATTTGTAAGCAAAAATATGTTTCCTTTGCATCCACTACCTGGTTTCCTTCAGGCGATGGCGGATGTCGACCAGTAGTTTCAGGACCTTTTTCTGGAACACTGAAATAAACGAACACATTTGGTGATGTTTACAATGCTCTAATTAGAATAACAAAGTTTGCTAACTCACAAGAGAGAAGGTGTCTATTAAAAGTGTCTTCTCCACTGCCAATAGATCAACACTTACCACCAGGTTTCAGTCACTGCATCTCCCAGTCTCAGTCACTGCATCTATACCACAAAAAAATGTGTTTTAAAAGTTATTATCAAATGATGAAACTGAACAGATTTATAAGATATTTAAAAACTTGGTCAAACATTTATAACTGAATATAACATGCCATGTTCCAGTTCTCTTTGGCGTTTTCACCACTGTCTCACGCTCAAAGTCATCTATAAACACAGACGTTAATCCAAATTAGTTTAGTTTTACTTTTTATTTGACTGGGGTCTGTTCAAAAGAAAAGAGGATGAGATCACAACACGTAACGTTACCTTATTTAAGTGTTTTTTCTCCCATCAGCGAAGGACACCTCACTCCTAACAGCCCCTGAGAGACAAAACAAATCACAAACATCTGAAGATTTCACTCATCACACAAAGTGATGCAATTTTACAAACAAGGATAGCCTACACTAGAGCATACAAGCACATTACGCGCTTTGTTTTAGGACCCTGGCACTTATTATTTTTTCATAATTTCTGACGATATTCAGAGTAAATGAGTTAGTTTGATTACTATCAAAGAATGGTAGCTAACTTGCAGCCAGATAACAACGTGCAACCCAACGTACAGTTTAGTGCCCCAAATTTGTTCAAATTGAAATGAAACAAAAAAAGAATTAAGAGCAGCAAGCTAACGCAAAACAAAAAACTGTTCCGTTAGGTTAACACCCTTGGACATTCGCGGCAGTAATCACAGCCGATTTGTGAAGTTTAAGACAAAAACGCTAAACTACCAAAAACTATAAGTAGACATGGACATAGAATTCACTAAGCTGGACGAACTTACCTTCAATTTAGAGGAAAAGATGGGTTCCCAGCGATCATGACGGCGAAGCAGGCTGAAATATCTGTGTAGTTACTTTCTGCTTTGTTTTCTCCATTTTGTATATATTGCAATTCTGACTGTATATTGACTTTGTTGGTTAGAATAAAAAAAAAAAAAAAAAAAAAAAAGGATCCTTCCTTGACATTGAAAAAAAAAAAAAAAAAAAAAAAAAGTTACTTTCTGCTTAAAAAACACGCCACATGCCTGGCACGTTGCCTCAGCCAATCAGAGTGGCTGACGTTACAGGTTGGATTATGACGATATGCTGCCTCAGCCAATCAGAGTTACGTTCATTGGTTTTTGACTCAGGTTGAAAGGCTGTCGCCGGCTGTCCTTGACTTTTCTGCTGCTGTTAGTTCATTTTAAATTAGGAATAAGGTGGATATACCTAAATAGGCTACCATGAAATGTAAAAATACATATATGCATAAATAAATAACTTTATTAGGTTACTTAAAATAAATAAACCAGTAAAAAAATTTTAAAAAACAAAAACAAAAAACATCTGTTTATAACTGTGAATTAACATCAAAGATGTTATCATATATTTTGAAAACCTCTTCCTTAAATGTTATGATGAATCTTATAATTTTATTAGGAAAATTTCATATTCATAAGAGTAAAATGAATAATTCTAAACCTTGTTTGAAGTTTTTTTTTTTTTTTGGTCTAATTTTTAGTTTTCAGTATATTCTGTCTCTCAAATGTATCGATAAAAATGTAGTGATACAATTGTATTTGCTAAAGAATATTGAAGCTAATTGAAGCTAATTTTCTTTCTTTAAATAGTACAAATTACTGGTTTCTAACTTTCTCTTAAATCATAATATTATACACAATAGAGATAGTCCCTTTCCTGTTTTTATTTCATTTGTTCAATTCTGTCCTATTTTTATTTGTTTCTTATTTATTGTGAAATTATTATTTGTTGATTGTTATCTTTTTGGATGTCATGTTATTGTTGTAATTGTTGTGCATTATGTGCAATGTTAAAAAAACAAAAAACAAAAAAAAACACAGCAATTAGGTTATACTGAGCCTGATCTTGTCTTAGAATGAAGTTATACCTTTCAGAAAAATGTTACCTGGGGTGAAACTCCCCTACCCTTATTTGCATGTGTATAGCTCACAGCATTTTCATTTACATGTCAAAGCCTCCTCTAGATTTAGGAGAAGGGGGGACAATGGGGGGACAACTGCCAAGCAAGGCCCACGTCAATTTCCGGCAATTCACAGCAGTTTTGAGTGTTACCTGTAAATTGCCGTGTGCAGTCGTAAACCTGAACTTCCACGACAATCTACAGTGCCGCTTACTGACGAAAATCCCACTTTTCATGCAGTGAGACTTAAGTGTCATATGATCTTAATCAAATAACAGAGCCAGTAGCACTTAAAGGTGCAGTGAGTGGATTCTGAGAAACACTGTTGACGTTTGAAATCAACCCAAACAAACCCTTGATTGCTCCGCCCCCCAAATGCACAAACGTCTTAAAGGAACACTCCGACTTTTTGGGACTTTAGCCTATTCACCTTACCCCCCAGAGTTAGATAAGTCCATACATACCTTTTTCATCTCCGTGCGTGCTATAAGTCTGTTTGACGCACCCACCGCTAGCCTAGCTTAGCACAAAGACAGGATGTGAATGGTTGCAGCTTTCATACTAATCCAAATGAGTGACAAAATAACGCAAACGTTTTCCTATTTTAGGAAACGTTTTCAACATTACATGTTGTGGTTTGTATAGTCACAGAGTGTGCAAATATCAAGGCCATATGAGACACAGACATCTTTTGACCGTATAAATACTATATTTTCTGAAGGGGAAGCACTGCTACTTGGGCAGAGTGATAACGATCACCTGAGACGCACCGTGA